TTTAGAATCTGCTGTCACGCTTTATGTTCAGAATATTGCTTGTGGTAGGCAACATGCTGCTTTGGTGACAAAGCAAGGAGAGCTGTTTTCTTGGGGAGAGGAATTAGGAGGTAGACTGGGGCATGGTGTAGACTCTGATGTCTCACATCCAAAGCTTATAGATTCACTAAAAAATGTCAACGTTGAACTTATAGCATGTGGGGAGTACCATTCTTGTGCTGTAACACTTTCTGGGGATATGTACACATGGGGTGGTAGCACTTACAATTTTGGACTCCTTGGTCATGGAACTGAAGCAAGTCAGTGGGTTCCAAAGAAATTAAATGGGCCTCTGGAGGGAATACATGTCTCATCAGTTTCATGTGGACCATGGCACACAGCTGTGGTAACCTCTGCAGGGCAATTATTTACTTTTGGTGATGGAACCTTTGGTGTCCTAGGACATGGGGATCGTCAGAGTTTTTCAATCCCGAGGGAAGTCGAGTCCCTTAAGGGCCTTCGAACAGTGCGAACTTCCTGTGGTGTTTGGCATACTGCTGCGGTTGTTGAAGTCATGGTTGGGTCTTCAAGTTCTAGCAACTGCTCCTCTGGTAAACTTTTTACATGGGGAGATGGAGATAAAGGCCGTCTTGGTCATGGTGACAAAGAAGCAAGACTAGTGCCCACTTGTGTTGCAGCTCTTGTTGAGTCAAACTTCTGTCAAGTGGCCTGTGGACACAGTTTGACTGTTGCACTTACAACAACAGGCCATGTTTACACTATGGGAAGCCCTGTATATGGCCAACTAGGACATCCTCAAGCTGATGGTAAGTTCCCTATCCGCATTGAGGGGAATCTTGTGAAAAGTTTTGTGGAGGAAATAGCATGTGGTGCTTATCATGTTGCAGTTTTAACATCTAGAACTGAAGTTTACACTTGGGGAAAAGGTGCAAATGGTCGCTTAGGTCATGGGGATGCTGATGATAGAAATTCTCCTTCATTAGTTGAAGCTTTGAAGGACAAGCAAGTCAAAAGCATTGTCTGTGGTTCTAGCTTTACTGCTGCTATCTGTCTTCACAAGTGGATCTCTGGTGTTGATCAGTCAATTTGTTCGGGATGCCGCTTTCCATTTAATTTCAAAAGGAAACGACACAATTGCTATAACTGTGGACTTGCTTTTTGCCATTCGTGCAGTGGGAAAAAGTCTCTAAAGGCTTCCATGGCACCCATTCCTAACAAACCTTATCGTGTTTGTGATAATTGTTATGAAAAACTCAAGAAAGCTACTGAAACAAACTCTTCATCTCACTCTTCTCTAAGTAGAAGAGGAAGTATAAATCAACGACGAAATCATGTTGAAATGAGTGAATCTTTGGATTCTAGGCCTAACATCCAACTTACTAGAAATTCTTCTATTGAATTATCCAAGGAAATGGAAAGTGGTTCTTCTAAAAGAAACAAGAAGCTAGGCTTTAGCACTACCAGGGTTTCATCCCCTCCAAGTGGGGTTTCTCAGTCCAATGGACATTCTAGATCTTCAAACCAAATGTTTGGATCATCCAAGAAGTTTTTTTCAGCTTCTCTCCCTGATCAAGAATTGTATCTCGAGCATCTTCACCTACATCAAGACGATCTAGCCCACCTCGTGCTACTACACCAACACCAACATTATCAGGCTTGCGTCACCAAAGATTTTGTCGGCGATGCTAAAAGGACAAATGATAGCCTGAGTGAGGAAATCATTAAATT